CGGGCCCCCGGCGGGAGGCGTGCCGCCGCATCTGTCTCCGCATGGCCGTGCGAAGGTTCTGCAGCACCGAGGCCTGGAGGGTGGGGCGGCAGCTCAGGGGGCAGCCAGGCCGCTCGGGAACAGAGGTCAGCTCGGCCCTAAGGGACCTGAGACCCAAGAGACCACCATGTCCCTCCCCAGCTGGTTTCCCAGGCCGCCCTACCCAGGCTTCTCCTTGTGTTCCTTGGACCCCGGGGCCGGCCGAGCCATGTGCTCTCCCACCTGGTCCCTGCCGCCCCTGTCTCTGGCTCTGAGGTCCGGCTGGGGGCCTGGCCCGCGGGCTCTCGCGCCCTCAGGGGCTCACCTGGGATGCGCTGTAGACGGGAAAGTCCTCCACGGGTGGAATGAGGCCCTGGGCGATGAGCTGCCCGTAGGACGGGGGCGCCTCTCGCCGCACAAACTCGGCCTCCATGCGAGTCATCTGGGTCTCGAAGGCCCTGCAAGCAGTGGGCAGAGGGCAGCATGGCAGGGCTGGCAGAGACCCGCCCCGGCAACAGGACTCGGGGACCCACCCTCCGTCCAACCGCGGAGGCTCCAAGATGTCCGCGCGCAGGGGGGCAGCCCACGTGCCCAGGCCCCGGCGCCCAAGCCCACAGCAGAGGGGCCGGCGCGCTGAGGCCTCACCCCAGGGCCGGTGTGGCGCCCACCTGTACTCCTGCGTCCGCAGCGAGTAGAGCTTGCAGGCGCAGCCCAGGGCGATGACCAACAGCAGGCCGCACACCAGGCTGCCAATGAGCGCCGCCGTGATGACCTTGCGGGGCACGGCGGCCAGGCACCCGTGCTCGTCGCTGCCGTCCTGGCAGTCCTCCTGGCCGTCGCAGCGCCACGTCTCGAAGATGCACAGGTTGGTGCCGCAGTGGAAGGTGCCCGGCTGGCAGGAGAAGCAGTTCTTCTCGTCGGCGCCGTCGGGACAGCTCTTCTGGTTGTTGCAGCGGTCGGCAGGCGCGTAGCACAGGCCGCT